TGATAATTCCAATGTCCCTGCCTTGTCTTGCTCTGGTGCTTGCTCTGCCACTTTGCAATGTGTGTCTTGCTTTTGGTATGCTTTGTAACTTTTTATTGATAGGTGTACTGATGAACTGGGTAAAAGGTACTACTGTAAATGGCTTTCTGTAATGTGATGGTGAGGTGGGGGAGGGAAGTATTCTACAGTCCTGTGATGAGGTCTCCATGGCTCTGGACTGTGAACTTCATAGTGTTTCTCAGCTTGCCCCCCCTCATCCCCTCAGCTGAGACAGGATGGTGGAGTGGGCTGAAATTAGGCATTTCCCCTCCCCAGGTCCATCAGGCTCTGGTAAGACCAGGTGAGGCGCTGGCTAACTCATTTTTCCTGAGGGCTGGCCTTGTGAAGAGCAGAGTGTTCTGCTGTTTTTCAAAAATGGTCCCTACTGTCAGCCATGCTGTTGGCCATGCCCCAGCCTAGTGACCCTGAGACTCTGCCCTTAGACTCCGCCCCGCACAATCTACAAACACACCCAAGCTCCAAGCAGCAGCTTTTGCATACGAATGGCCTTCACTATTGCAGTTTAACCTACCAAAGTAGGAGAGGACTGTGGTTCTCACTGTAGCTCCTGCAGGGTGGCCTCTGACAGTAACTAAACTGCACCCCATTGGAAATCCAGAAGCCAGTGTTCCTAGTGGTCAGTGTGAGACACCAGATTTCAACTCCTCACATCCATTAGTGACACACTAGGGAGGCAGACCCAGTGGGCACTAAAGCCCCACTGAAACAAGGCCTGCACCATAAGCGTGTCTCCAACGCAGCAGTTCTTCCATTATAGACACAGCGGGTCCTCACAGCCAATTGGCCTGGCGGTCAATTCCTCCCAGTGTACCAACAGCAATCAAGGTTTAACTACACCAAGACTTTGCACTCAGCCCACAAAGGGATGTACCAAGAGCAACCACCTCGGGTGATTAGGGAAGCTGAGCTACTGGCCCCTATAGGTTACCAACCACACAAAGCCACTCCATCAACACAGGGAGACAGCCAAAATGCAGAGACACATAAGCATGTCATGAATGAGAGAGTTGGAGGAAAGTAAACTACTGGATGACACAGAGTTCAGAATGACATTTATAAGGTTACTCAAGAATGTTCTAAAAACAGCTGAGAAACTTGAAGAGACCTTCAAGGACCATAATGAGAATACCAAAAAAATGGAAAAGGACCAGTTAGAAATTAAGCATACACTGTCTGAAATAAAAAATATACAGAAACTCAACTGTAGATCAACGTACCCCAAGAGTCATACCAAAGATCTGGAATATGAAGAAACAAAAAACACCCAACCAGAGAGGCAGAAAGGAAGAAGAATCCAAAAGTGTGAGGATAGTGTAAGGAGCCTCTGGGATGGCTTTAAGCGTACCAACATCCAGATTTTGGGGGTGCCAGAAGAAGAGAAAGAACAGGATATTGAAGGCCTATTGAAAGAAATAATAACAGAAAACTTTGCCTACCTCGTGAAAGAAATAGACTTACAAGTCCAGGAAGCTCACAGAACCCCAAACAAGAAGAATCCAAAAAAGACCACACCAAGACACATCATAATTAAAATGCCAAGGGCAAAAGATAGAGAATCTTGAAAGCAGTGAGAGAAAAACAGTTAGTTACCTACAAGGGAGTGTCCATACGACTGTCAGCTGATTTCTCAACAGAAACTATGCAGGCCAGAAGGGAGTGGCAAGAAATATTTAAAATGATGAACAGCAAGAACCTACAACCAAGATTACTCTACCCAGCAAAGCTATCATTCAAAATTGAAGGTCAGATAAAGAGCTTCACAGATAAGAAAAGCTAAAGGAGTTCATCACCACCAAACCAGGATTACATGAAATGCTGAAGTGTATTCTTTAAGAAGAGGAAGAAAAAGAAAAGGGTAAAAAGGTAAAAACTATGAACAACAAAAAGACATCAAATACATACCTACCAACAAGTGAATCTAAAAATCAAGTAAATAAAAAATCTGAAGAATAGAATGAACTTATGAATATAATAGAATCATGGACATAGGAAGGGAGTGGACTGACAATTCTCAGGGGGAAGAGAGTCTGAGGGGTGAAGGAAGAGATTGGACAAAAATCTTACACCTATGGATGAAGACAGTGGCAGGGGGGAAGGGCATGGGGTGGGGTGGGGAATCAGGTGGAGGGGAGTTATGGGGGAGGGGGAGAGGAACACCTTAATAATTTGAACAATAAAGATTTATTACATCAAATAAAATAAAATAAAATAAAATAAAATGGTCCCTTCTCCCTTCCTTCCCCCCATGTTTGGAATGTTTAACTCACAGACCTCCCCACACCAAGCCCACAGCAACTTGCCAATTACAGTTCAGGTTCTCTTGACACACTAGTCCCCATGGTGGTTTCCCCTGGCGAGTCTCCTCTGGAAACTCATGACGCTGTTGATCTCTCTGATCTCAGGGGAAGCGGCTTGCCCTGTGTCCTCCCACAGCATTGGGATCTGAGAGGAATTGTTGTTCTTCAGTCTGCTGGGCATTTTGTTTGTTAGATGGAGTTTCATCATGGCGGTACTAACCTAGTCGGGAATAACAGGAGCGGAGCAGAGGGGAGGCCAGATCACACAAGCACACCATTTGTGCAGCTTTGCCAGGAGGCTGCAGTGGAACTCTGTCTAGGAGGCCACGAGGCTGGCCCCAGCAGGCTGGGCAGGGAGAATGGATGCATCCTAATGCAGTGAGGACTGGGTGACATGGGAAGGCGCACCTGTCAGTCACACCTGGGAACAGGTCATTGGCCAGAGCAGGGGTGGCCCCTGAGAGTGGGAAGGTTTGAGATCCTTACTCCCCTGAATGGAGGAGTTCACACTCTTGGTTCTCCTACATGCTTGGCTCCTGTGTTTTGGGGGCTCCTGGGACTCTTGCTGCAGGGAGCGTACTCTGTTGGCTCCCCTGTATTTGCCCACATGACTCACAGCTGCGAGGACTTCACACACACGGGCTGTAACCAGTGTGGGGCCGTGCAGACCCAATGCCACCATGGAAAGAAAAATGTGGATTCCGGCTTTGCTTGTAGCTCGACTGAATCCCCAGTTGCACATCTTCTCGGGCCGGATTAGGGGAAGCAGGTCTTTGGAAACCCAAGGATGTAATTGCACAAAAATAAAGCTTTCTGACACATCACATCTTCCCAGGGGGGCCTCTGGAATGCTTAATCCAGCAGTACCTCAGAAACCCCACTCCCACTAGCAATGGAGAAAGACATTCACTCATTCCTGAAAACAATGGCACTGATGTGGGGGCGTATCATTTCCATCCGGCTCCCAGACCCACACATCTCCCTCGGTGCTTAGAGAACCAGAAGGTATAAGAACTGACAAATTGGTTAAAACCCAAAAGGTGCTGTGTGAGTCAGAGGACTTTTCTGCAGGACCAGCTTCAGTGGGAGGGGGGAGATACTGGTGTTGGGGCTAGTCAGCGCATAAAAGCAGGTCCAATGCTTAAGATCAAACTAAGCTTCCTGTTGGAAAACTGTGGAATTGATGAGGTGTATTTAAAGGAAAAGGAGCAGGACCCTGGCCAGTGTTGCTTGTGGTTAGAGCATCAGCCTGCATACTGAAGGGTCATGGGTTTAATTCCTGGACAAGGGCATGTACCTGGGTTTCAGATATAACCCCAGGCCCAGGTTGAATGTGTGTGGGGGGAGGCAACCAATCAATGTGTCTTTCTCACATCGATGGTTTTCCTGCTTTGATCCCAGGCCTCAGTCAGGTGTGTGCAGGAGGCAGCCAATTGATGTGTCTTTTTGACATTGATGTTTCTCTTTCTTCCTCCTCCTCCTCTCAAAAAAAAAAAAAAAAATCAATGGAAAAATTATTCTTGGGTAAGGATTAACAACAAAAAAAAGAGCAGGATTTACACCAAAAAAAAAAAAAAAAAAAGTTTTTCAAGTTCCCAAGTAAAAACAAACAATTTTTATAAAATCAAGAGCTTAACTTGTAAAGTTGCTGTACACCTGAAACAAATACAAAAAAATAATTAAATGTAAACTGTAATTGAAACATTTTTAAAAATGAAAGAACCTAGAACTCAACAAAACCCACCAGTGATTCCTAAAACCTGGTATAATTTGCCATGATCTTGGCAATTCTAGTCCAGAAAGAACCAGGGTCAGCGAAGGGGAGTAAATGTTTACACAAAGAGTCTAGTAAGAAATTCACTTGCTTGCAACAATATTATTATTTCCATAAGTTTTGCTTTTAATGATGATTCTTCTTCTTTATGGTAATTAGATCTTTAAAAGTCACCACCAGTAATGATATAAACTTTCATTTATGACTTAGATAATTATGTGCATGTATGGGAGGCCAAGAGGCTGTAGACAGGCACCATCTCAAACTTCTCACCTCTCCAGCCCCTGGAGGTATAAACAGCCGTGCTGGATGTGCAGACCTGCACAGACAACACGTTAGGAGAAGCAGTAGGCTGACTCCGAGGGTAGCGCCCAGACTGTCTAGGTCCATCTGAACTCTGTGGCTCGCTGGCTGGAGACCTGGGGCAGGTGACCTCACCTCTCTGTCTTCCACATGATGTCATGGTAAAATGAGTTCTTCGTAGCACCTAATTCATTAGGTTGCTGTGAAGATTAAATGAGTTACCTAATGTTATATGCATTGACTGTTACTATTACTTTTACTATTATTTCACACAAAGCAATGAAGACATTTTAGGAAAAGGAAAAATATGTTTATTTCTCCTCTATCTATTCAAAAGATATCTTGATCACTAGTGGCATTGTACAGATAGCATTTTGGTTAGGCGGCACCAGGCGCATTACACAGCACTTGATGGTGAAGATACCTGTGCTTTCTATTTCTGCTGCCTAGGAATGCTGTGCGAGGTAAAAGTCCAAATAAAAGGTGTTTTTTTGTTTTGTTTTTTTGTTTGTTTTTGTTTGTTTTTTGTTTGTTTGTTTGTTTGTTTTGAGGGCAAGGTCAGCTCTTCATTTGGCAGCATGCTTCTTATATATCTCCAAGAACTCAGTCACGTCGTCAGGGGACCCCAAGATGACTGGCGTCCTCTGGTGGATGTCAGTGGGAACGATGTCCAGGATAGCTTCCTTCCCAGTGGTAGCCAACCCTCCAGCTTTCTCAATGACATAGGCCATTGGGTTACCTTCGTACAGCAGTCTCAGCTGCAAAACAAGAGCCCAGAGCTGCGTCTTCACACCAGAAAGTATTTCATAGGAAGAAGATTTATTCCACAGCAAAACAGCACAGGGCTGGTGGAAGTTTCCAAAGTCACTGAGACTCTCCCTTTCCTTCTAGGAGGTTATAAACTCCCTCCCCGCCCCGTCCCCGCCCACACACACCTCAAGGCTGCATATAAGACCAAATGGTTCAGTTAGCCATTTGGTTAATTAAGCCATTCATCAAGCCAGAGGCAGGAATAGACTGCTCGATGCGAATATGAGACAGAGCACCTGGGCTCGGGGCTGAATGACATATTGGCAGAACTGGTGGTTCCCTGTTCTTTACGGCACGGCGACTGGACCTAATGAGGGATTCTGTGTGTTTTGGATGGAGCTTTGCCTATTCTAAAAGCATAAAAAGAATTCATGGTTGTGTCTGGCTACAGACATCTGGAAAGCAGGCTGGCTCCTCCACACAGTATGACATTGTTTGCAGCTCTACACACATTCCTTTTATAATTCTCCCAAGGCTTGCGGGCTGGGATTTACTATATTATAAGGCTTGGCATTTATTTTTAAATATTAACTTTTTTATTGTACGTGTTTTCGTGCAGTCGCCTACGGAGCAGACAGCTCCTTGCAGGTGTTTCCTGCCTCTATTTCCATACAGGTGTCATGGCCAAGTTTGCAAAACCGAAAAAAAAAAAAAAAAAAAAAAAAGAAGGAACCTCAGTATTTCTGTTAAAAAACAATTTTGGGGGCATTAGGGGAAAGTGCTATTAAGCAGCTAATCACATAGGCGGGGCAGGGTGCGGGGGGGGGGGGGGGGGGGGGGGCGGGGGGCTGTGGCAGGAGTGGTGTTTTCCGTGAACACAATGTCTTCAGTGAGGCGGACACCATGCGCAGTAAACAGAGACCTGAATACAGATTTCTATCTTAAAGGGGTATGTCCAAATTCCTTCTCTCATATTAAAAAAATAATAATGATAAATAAATAAATAAATAAATAAATAAATAAATAAATAAATAAATAAAACTGTCTATCAGGAAGAAACAAAGGACGGTACTTGGGAAGGCAGCAATGTCCCTCTGTGCAGCAGACATGTGGCCACCAGCCGGCGGGGCTGCACAGACCCCCAGCCCCGCACACACGCGCGCGCGCGCGCGCGCACACACATGCCTCGGGCAGTAACCCGGGCAGTCGTGTAACTGTTCACCCACGAGCCCCAGGCTTCCGGAAGGAGCTTTCCTTCCCTAGAAAGGCACCCCTTTCCAAGCAGCTAATGGCGGCTCATTAGTTATTGCTATTTGATGCCCTTTGAACGCAATCAAAGAAAACCTCCCTTTGGAACGCAGATTTGATCTGCGGCCTCGGTGACGGGGCGGGCTGGTTCATTCCTCTCTCTGAGTGGAATTTATTTTGCTCGAGCCTCACCGAGTGCCACTGGAAGAGCCGAGCACTTTCGGCCGCTCCCGACCAGACCACCATCGCTGCTCGTTAGCAGCGGAAGGGCTCTGCAGACCCTGCCTGACTTCAGCCAGAACAGCCTGCATCCCGATCAGAATCCGCCGCGGACATGGCCAGCATCCCACGGCAGAAGCTCGCCGCCATCCTCCTGAGTCAAATAAAACCCTGCTCCTCGGGGCCTGCTTACCTTTCCTTTGGGGCTCTTCTTGTTGGCGGGGTACAGGAAGATCCCGCCGTACACCAGGGTGCGGTGCACATCGGCCACCATGGAGCCCACGTACCTGGAGCCGTAGGGGGCTGAGTTATCCTGCAAGGCGAAGAGCAGCGATCAGGAGGGGTGCAGAAAAGAAGGAAGGGAGCCCTCTGAGTCCTCTACCCTGATTTTACTCCACGGTTGTTTAGTGAGCACCCACAAGGGGCGTGTAGAGGGAACGGGGTGAGGATCCTGTTCCCCAGGAGCAGAAAGTGGAGCAATGGGGACCGCTTCTCATCCGTGTCCCAGTAGGCCCAGCTGCCCTCAGACCCCATGACACTGCTGTTGGTGTGAGCTATGGGGTTGGGGCAGGCATCACACCAACGGTACCGGTTAGCAGAACCTTGCAGGGTAAGAAGGATTTTGCCGAGCTAAGGAGCTGGGCAAGGGCGGGGTTTTCGTCTTGTGGGAAGGGACGTACACAACTAACCAGGCAGAGAAGCAAAGGCTGTCCACGGGGTGGGGGCGGGAAGGGAGCAGGAGAGGAAGCCAAGGCGGGTGGAAGGAGAGATGATGGAGCGGGAGAGAGAGCCCGGCCAGTTCCGAGGGCCCCCAGTGCCGTGCTGACCACCTGTCAGCTTCCTCGTCAGGACACAGCAGGCATCGAAGGCACGTGACGAGAGTGTGGCAAAGCTGGGCACCCCCACCCAGAACCAGCTCTGCAGCCAGCTGTTTCTCTCTCTGAGCTCCGGGATGTGTAACGGAGACACACGGAGAAGGGCACCCTGACCTTGAGGTGACTGACAGACTCCGGTCAGATGCCGGGGGGCAGGTCCTGGGTGCTAGAGCCACATTTTGTACCATCTGGAATTGGGAGCCCAGAAGTGAAACATGCTTCACGGCCCTGGGCTCATGCAGCCAGCGGCCCAGGTACCCTGACTGTGTGCTGCCAGGGGAACATGGAGAGGCTGGAACAGACCTCCTGGTTCTGACGTCCCCGGTACCTGGGCTGGAACCTCACAGGGGAAGCCAAGCTCTCATGTCCCTGCCCGCAGCCTGCACATTCCTGCCTCGCTCAGGGCCTCACTCACCGGGGGGAACTTCTTCCTCTGGACGTACTCGGTGACCGCGGGCTCGAAGTCCTTGGCGTAGCCCTCGTTGAGGCTGTAGATGTTCCCTTTCTTTTTGATCTTCACATCCTTGTCCACCAGAATGAACTCGCCAATAGCCTGTGGGACAGGAGGACGGGAGAGGGGCGATGAGCCTCCGGCCTGTGTGAGGGCGGGCTCCGTGCAGGAGGGGCCTGCGGTCACACCCATGCACCAGCACAAGGAGCTTGGCTTTTGCCTCCCGGGTTTTTCTTCCTGAGGGATGACTGACATAACACTGCGATAGTTTCCGGGGCACAGCGCAGGGTTCCCTATCTGTACACATCGCGGGAGGACCGCCAGCACAGGGAGCGCCTGGCCCTGGGACGCCCATGCCTCAGGATGTGCACGCCTCCTGGGGAAACATGCAATGTAAGTGACGGTGGTGCGGACAGGAGGCGGGCCTCAGGAGGGACAGACAGCCCAGTGACACCAGCGCGCTCAGGGACGGTGTTCCCTTTCGTGTGCGGCTGTAGGAGAGAGCAGAGCCCGGGTCTAAACACACAGCATGTGTGACGGCAGCTGCCTTTGCTCAGGGAGCTCAGTGCTTCTCAGAGCGCCGCCCACAGGCCCGGTGCTCAGCCGGCCCCTCGGAGCTCAGGCTCTGAGGGCGAGCGCCAGCAGCTCCTGGGGCTCCGGACTGAGGCTCTCTGGGCTCCTGCGTGTCACTGAGAGGGTGATTGGGGTGCTCCTCTGGGGGCAAGAGTTAGAAGCAAGGAGGACCCATCAACACCTCTCCCCCCCCCCCCCCCCCCCCCCCCCCGTTTATTCCCACAGTGAAGACTGGTTCCCGCCGGGATGAGCACGTGAGACTAGAGGGGGGGAGGGCAGGGCCGGAGGAAGGGTGAGGAGAGAAAAGAGACTGGCATGGACAGTGGTCACAGGAAGGTGTCACTGTGTGTGATTCTTTTTTTTAATATGCTTTCCAGTATTTCTAGCTATTTTGGCCACAAATATGTAGAAATATTTTTATGGTCAGAAAACTAAGTAAATAAATAAATATCTTTAAAAAAAAAAAAAAAGATGAAAAAGTCTGGGACATGAAGCCACTGCATAGCAGGCACCACACAGCTCACTCAGCCATGCCTTGCCGACCCCCTCCCGCAGCGCAGGTGTGGAGGGAGGCCTCGTGCACGCCAGACAAGAGACGGGAAAGCTTTTTGAAGGTTAAGTTCATGATGAGCTAAGAATGCAAACATAGCTTTTAAGCAGAAACCCTCAGCCTGTGCGTGCAGTGAGCCAAAAGGAAAAGGAAAGGCTAGACCCGTCAGAGGCTCTGCCGGCAGAGGGCTGGCCAGATGCCAGGTCCCGGAGGCAGGGGGCCAGGGCAGTCCATCCAAACACCGTGTGAGGAGGGCAAAGGGCCATCAAATACACAGGGTCTGCAATCTGGAAACAAGAAGAGATGTGTTTTTTCCGACGTGCCCACCAGCACAGGTAGCAGAGAGGATGTGCGGAAGCCGGAGGGTCTGGGAGCTGGCACATCAGCGATTTCAGAAACGGTGCCCCGGCTCCCCGTGACCTGTGCTCTGGTTCTGCCACTGTTTTCCCCGAGGTCACCTCGCCTGAGACTTAAACTGGTGCTGATTCCCCCGCCCTTGTTTATTTATTAAGCGCCAGTACCTCCAGGGACAAAGTGCAGTTGCGCAAGAGTGCTGGGGGCAAAGGCGCCTGCACCCCGGTTTATCCGCCCGCCGCAAGCCAACCCAGGGCCTCAGGAGCAGCCGCCGCTCCCCGGATCCCAGCCAGCTGCTGTCCTTGTGTTTCGTCCGTCAGCAAAAAGCACCAAATCAACAACATGCTTCGCTGATGTCATCCAAGGACGTTTCCAAACGCGAAAGGTGTTATAAACCCAATTCTCCTCCCCATGGGACACGGGGCCAGTCGCCTAATGAACATGCTGACCTATCGATAGTAAAGGCTGTTCTGTACCCAGTGCTGGATTTCGTGGCACCAGATGTTTGAAAAGGTTTCTTTCCCTAATTCATCTGCTCTGTCGAAACTGCCACCTAACTTAATAAGTACCCCAATTCATAGACAGGTAAGACTTATGCACAAATTAAAGCTGCCAGTGAGTGTCTCTCCATGGCACCCTGGGCTCCTCTGCAGAAGGTAGCTGTTCTCTATGATGGGGGCCGAATGACCTCCCTTCCTTCTTCCCCTTCATGCCCTGAGGTCTCAGAGCCCTGGCAGGACTGCAGAGGCTGGCCCCAGCGCGCCTGTGAGTGCACAGCAGGCACGTTCAGGCGGGCTGCCCGTCCGCTGAGGAAATGAGTGATGAATGCAATGGGGGGGAGGGGGGGGTCAACAGGCCATCCAGAGGCCCCATCTGGTCCATAAGTGCGTTTTAGTTGGCTAGCATGGTGTTTTTACCCAAACCATCTCACTAAACACACACCACCGTGTTTCCTAAACACTGACACCTGTCCAGCTCACCACTGAAGCTTTCTGGGGTCCCAGCACCCCGACCTGGCTCCGCGCAGCATGCTCTGCTCACTCACATGGCCTGCCTGGCCCCGATGGACACTGGAGCCAGTTGAATCATGTCTGTTCCGAAGATTTCATCTTGGAACTAAGGCCCTCTTTTTTGCTCTGGACAGACATTAACCCTCACCTCAATCATCTCCTCCTGACGTACATGTGGTCTTCCTCTGCACCCCCACCTCTGTCCCTCCGACGACATCTCCCACCGCTGTGCACCCCAGTCCATGCCCACACACATAACTGACACAGCCACGGGCCAGGCACCTGCCCCGCCACCCGAGCCCCCGGGCTCTCTCACCGGGTCCAGCATGAAGCAGTTGACCCCACAGGCCATGGCCAACACCAGCATGGTGGCACTGCCATAGAGGGCGTAGCCAGCTGCCACCAGGTTCCGGCCTGGCTGCAGGGCGTCCTTCTCGGAAGGCTCGTCGGTAGAGTTCTAGGACAAGAAAGAAAACAAAACACATTTTTGTTCTGCTTTGCGGTTCTTTTTTTCTTTTTCCTTTTTTTTTTCAGTTCAACCAGTAGCAAGATGCATCAGCAAGATGCTTTCTTAATAAAGGGCATTTTCTTGGACCTCCTTCAGGACAGTGATGTCCTGATTCTATTCCCATGGCAGCGTTTTCACAGGCCCCAGACTTCCTGCAGCTGGGCCTTTCTTCCCAATTACCACCCTCCTCCCATTTTACTAATTCGATATTCCCTCATTTCTCCATTTTCACTTTCAAAAAAAAGCATGCCTTCTTGCCAGCTCCCACTAATTTAATCTTATTATGGGCATCAATGTCTTTCACCTGTCTCCTCCGTCTTTCTTTAAACCAATTAGGCCTGGGCTGCGGGGCCGCAAGTCTGGTGAGGACATCATTTCCACCAGTTCTTGCCAGTCACAGCCCATCCCCTAGGGAGCAATGTGGTCCACATCATCACACACCAAAGAGACTCTCAGGAATGGGGGGGGGGGGGGGAGACTTAGAAAATCCTTCCAGAGCCAGGACCGAGCAGGGCAGATGCTTCTGTTTTTTGAGCATGGCCCACGGTCAGAAACACTGGTGCCGTCACGAACCAGTATCAACACACACCCACACGCACACACAACTGCAGGAATGAGACGGGACAATCTGACACTTAGACCATCACATGCACTCTAATCTCTTCTTTTTTTCATGAAGAACACGTGGCCCACAGTTTACCTAAGATGGAGGGATGAAACCCTCTCTGAAAGAGACGGCTCCCAACGAATGGATTGCTAACCGATGATCACCATCTCATCAACACTTGATTGGCTTCTTCCTTCCTCAAAGAAGCCCAAACAAAGCTTTCAGCTTGAATAGTCTCTACTTGAATTTAAACAGGAATGAAAATGGGCAATTTCTGCCAATTTTATTTATTCCTTTCCCAGCCAAGAGATGCCAGCAGCTGAGGGGAAGAACTACTAATGTACAAGGAAGAACTGCTAAAACCATTTCTTCACATTTTCCCTTCATCCCCACAACTGTGTTTTGTTTGTTTTTCTTGGTGTTTTGTTTTGTGGGTTGTTTTTTGTTGTTGTTGTTTGTTTCTTTTTTTGCTTTTTTAAATTTCAGAGAGGAAGGGACAGATGGGAGAGAATCATTGATCCTGGGGATTGAGCTGAAAACCCAGGCATGTGCCCTGACCAGAATCTAACCGTGACCGCATGTGGTTCATTGGTCAAAGCTCAACCACTAAGCCACACCGGCCAGGCCCTCAGCCCCTGAGTGCAAATGTCACTCCATAGTCAAGGCGGTTGGTTGGCTGGGTTGTGTCAACACAGACTAAACACAGTATAGAAAGTTTGAGTTTTTCCTAACTCCTAACGTTGCCAGTGCATGGTCTTGAGAAAGGAACAGCTTCCTTCGAAGCCAGTGACAGAGGGGCAGACTCAGGCCTTGAACACAGCCACGTAAGCTTACCCGCCAGTGCAGCGGGAAACCAGACAACAGGAGTATGGGAACAAATGGGCTGACTGGGAGCTGCTGGAGGCTCCCAGTAATCAGTTCTCCACCAGTAAGAGTTCCCCAGAGATCCCACCTTGCCCAGCGCCGTCCATCCCTGCCTGTGGGGAAGGTGCAAGAGGAAGCAGAATTTCCCTGAAATACTGTCGCCAAACAATCCTGCCCTGTGACATCTTTGCCTGAAGGAAGAAATGGCAGCACTATCTATGACCCACATACTCACAAGAAACAGAAAAGAATGCCATCGAATTGGGGGAATTCTTTCCTAGCCTGCCCCCTTCCCAATGCAGGGCTCCCTCCTGGAACCCCCAGTAGGAGGCGCCACATTCCCAGGCGGGTGGGCAGGGCTATGTGCTTAAAGAGCCCGGCAAAAGGAGAAAGCCTCAGGACCCTGCCTTTGTCTGTGCCGCCCTGGCCACCACCTGCTGTGGATATGGGTTTCCTTTATTCCACACCATCCCATAGGGATGAGGAAAAGACACCGGGATTCTGGAGATTCAAGGTGGCAGACAAGAAAATCGAGTATGGCAGGAGTGTGTGGTGGCTGTCTTGTCACCAGATGGCTGTTCTTCAGGGGCTGCCAAACCCTCCTTCGAAAGTCTTACAGGGCATTTGGCAGAGTCCCTCCATAACATAGCCAACATCGCTTACCTACGACTGCAGCAGGAAGCCTAGCAGGTAAAACGTGTGTGAGAAGGCGTCCTGCCTCCAGGAGTGTGTAATCTGTACTGCAGATGGGTTGGTTTGCCTGGCCAGTGCCCATCGCCATCCCACTGACAACTTCCTCTTCATCTTCCTTCGGATGCCGCCTCCCTCCCTCTCAGCTCTAGGGGTGGGCACATTCAGGCAAACATTCTGACCGTGATGGTGTCTAACACCTCAGGAGAGTTATACTCCTCTGGGTGTCCCCAGCCAGAAGCTGACCCCTCCTGAGGCACAGCAGCAGGCAATGCCTAGGACACTAGCCAGTGGTCAGCAAACTGTGGCTCGCAAACCGCGGTTTGCTACTCTGTTGACTGAGTTTGCTGACCACTGGGATAGGGACTTAATCACAAGGAACAACAACAGCCTGCAATTATTGGAATCGAGAGTCTAGGTCAGTGGTCGGCAAACTCATTAGTTAACAGAATGGCAAATCAGGGCTTATGAGCCGCAGTATGCCAACCACAGACCTAGCCCACCAGCCCTTGGAGATCCCTTTGGAGCCTGTTTCCTGGCAGTGGTGGGCCGGGCCTGATGCTGCTGCGGTTCCTGTTACAGATACTGTGTGCTGACAGGCGCCCAGGGAGCTGGATGCTAGCCCGGAGCCAGCTGTGCAGAAAGCATGAGAGGCACCTTTGAAGCATCGGGCACATCCATGTTTATGCCCCGAGGCCCTCACATGGCTTTAAATAATCAATAAGGCTTTGGAAAACTGAAATGGCAAAGGCAGCATCCCACTCATATTTGTTTTCAGTCTTTGAAGAGTCACACCACATTTACTAAGAAGGGTGTGGAGATTCACGGTTGAGTGTAGTGTCCTTCATTCATGCTGCTATTGCAAGATGGTTTGATTTTTTTAGTTGATAGTCAGTGTCTCCATTTTCTAGTTTTATCTGGTTTCCTTCAAGGCATCTTTATTTGGGAGTTGAGGTGGAGACTGGAGCTGGCAAACATTTGCGCTGCTTTAGTTTTGGTTGAGTCACTAACCAGCAGTCTTGCTTCACAGGAAGACTTTTGCTACAAACCTCTCTAGCCCTGGTAGTTTGCAGATAAGATGGTCGGCCTCCCTGTCTGTAACAGGCCTGGTAGAATATATTCCATGTTGACTTGGAAAATAGATAAATTCTTGCCTTGACCTTCCTGCTTTGAGCATTACAACCTGTTACTCAAATCAATTAGCTATATAAGATGATGTCTCTGCCTCAAGGAGTTCGCAATCTGTACAAATGCAGAAGGGGTGTTTTGTCCCTCTCGCTGAGACAAAAGCAAAAACACTTAATGACAAAAGAGAACTGTCCTGTGGTGTCCTGATTTCCACATGTTTGAAAGGAAATTATACGCAATGTTAGGCAACAAGTCCCTTTGAACAATAAAGTGCAAAAGGGTCTCATTACTTAAACTATGGCCTCCGTACATTACAATATGAGCGTGGGGAGAAGCCTCTGCAGCCACCTGCCCATTAAGATAAAGTGATTCAGACGCAAGGGCATCTGTGAGGTTTTATTTCTAAATTAAACAATACGGGCTGAGTTATGGGAACTAGATTATTTAAAGGACACTGCAAATTATAAACATGAAAACATATTTCAGATTTTGTGTTTTACGATGGGCCACAGGTATTCATTCTATTTTATTTATATATTTGAGTGCTCTTCCACCACCACCATGGCATGTACACACACACACACACACACACACACACACACACACACACACACAGCACTGAAAGAAAAAGAAGGAAAGGGAGGCAGGCTCTGGAGGTAGTGACCTGCCCAGGCACACAGGTAGAAGACCCGGGCAGTGTGCAGCCAACTCTGTCCATAAGTGGACAGGCAGTAAGCACTGTAGGTTTTATGTCATTAAGTATCACAATCGCTGAGCCCTGCCAGGGCGTCATGGAACCCGCCAAAAGCATCACGTAAACGTATGAGTTGCCCACCTTCCATTAAAACTTCATTTAAAGACAGTGACAATGAAATTCACATAAATGTTATGGGCTATGAAATATTATTTTAGTTTTTTTTTTTCCAGAATATATATTTTTTTAAATGCAGAAGGGTTATTCTTGCTCAGAGGCCATACAAATCAGGCAATTGGCTGAATTTGGCTCTGGGGAGAGTCAAAGTTTGCAAAGCCCTGATGTAGAAGATTTCAAGGTCAATTCTGACATATATACTCTCATTGTTGTCACACTCACAATTCTCAGCTCACATAGTATCACCACTGTAACTACCCTCTACTGTTCCTTTATTTTTAATTGCATTTTCTATTATAAAGAAAGCATGGTACGGCTAAGAGTAAACTATTTTTCTCTTCCTACTTGCACAGTACTACATTTTCTAACAACTTAATGGATCTTTACTATGTATCAAATGCTGAAAAAGTCAGAATTCAAGACATAAACCTTAAAGTTTCATGATATACACTCTGGTTGCTCCACCAATAGTGAAACAGGACTGGATACTAAACCTTAACTTTCCTCTGGGTCCCAAACCAGGGGCTTATACATTACCTCTTACCTTTCTGTAGATGCCAAAAATGGTTCCAATGGACACAAGGCAATCGATGTTGGAGGATCCATCAAGGGGATCAAAACAGACCACATATTTACCCTGGACAACAAAAAATGGAAATAAACTCTACTTTAAAAACAAACACAGTATAACAAAATAGAAAATATACACTAAGGGGATTAAAAAAAAGGGGAATCTAGGGGAAAGTTTAAGAAATGTGAGTCTTATTTATACTCTGTCATGGAAGCTATGAGTGGCATGCAAAATGCAAACAACAACAATGAATATACATAATCATATGACTACTATTGTACCAAAACATCATTAGGCAGAGAAAACACAACTTAGAATGGGAGGCTTAGATGAAGGTAGTAAAATATAGATAAGTAAATGTTAATTTCCTACATCATTGATATAGCTGAATCATAAGGTTGGCTTGAGTTTCCTGGCAGCCAAAAGAAGAAGAGAAGCAAGGTTATTTATTTATTTATTTTTATTCATTAGGGATATATACATAATATCTTTAGTAAAGCTAAAGGAATTAGCTTCATTGCAGTCTTTAAGAACCTTCTTGTGCAGTTCTTACAGATGACACTGGGTTACAGTGCACAGAGCCCTCAAGGATATCCCAACTGCAATGAATGGGGATGTCAGTGGTGTGCTACAGCTGCCTGGTTGCTAGTCTCAAGAGTGAGTTGTACACATCTCTTCCCAACTCTGCCTTCAGGGATGTCACGTTGGTAGTTTGAAATCAACTATGAGGAAGTATTTACAAAGGTGGTATTGGCTATTCCTGCAAATCAGAGACTTTTTCAAAACAGAACCAATTTATCAGCACTCCATAGGAGATTTTCGATATCCAGATTAGCTACGTTAAGATGTGGTTTCTAAGTTCTGCATCAAATTAAGACAAGCCTCTCATTCCCTGACCACTTGCTCTTAAATCACTCTGGTTGATGCAGGAGACACTGTTATCTGGAAAACGGGAACATGCCTATTAGAAAAGCACATAGTAGTCAGAGAAGTTGGGCCGACTGGTAGAGAACATTGAACAACAAATTCAATTCACATGCCTGAAAGGCCAAGTACTTTGAGAAGCCCAACAGAGAATATGAACTTTGAACCCAACATATAATATATTTTAGGGATAATATAAAATAAATTAATCGGATATAGCTCCCTACACTCTTCAAAATGTAAAGACCTGGTATCAGGTAGCCTCTCTAAGTTCATTTTCTGATTACTTTTTTCTAACTATACTTCTTCATGTCCCCGATTCATCTCAAACAGGGAAAGACGGCAACTCCATGGAACTGCACTCCTTATTTCAAGGTTTTTTGTTTGTTTGTTTTTTAAATTATTATATAATTGTTTTGTTCTATAAAAGCTGGATATACTCTTTCCATTCCCTTTTGCAACAATAATTTAGTATTGAACCCCTACAGTGGGCCAGGCATTATGCTAGATGCTGGGATACAGAGAAGAATATAATTCATTCTCCTCCCTCAATAAACAATTAAATCAATAGGATTCCAAATCATAAATCAGCGACAGGAATTGGGAGTATTTTACATTGGCAGAAGAATTGGAGTGTAAGGGTAGGAATTTGGTAGATGAAAATGAAGCAAAAGAAGTTGTTAATCGTAGCCAGACTTTAAAGAGCCTCGAACATGACAATGAAAAGTTAGGAGTGGAGATGAATATGAATAAATATGCATCTCTCCAATGTCTGAGTCCACTAGAGGATAGATAATGGCATTGCCTATGGTGGTAGAGGGGACAGGTGGGGATGGGTTGAGAGATGGTAGTGAGGAAGAATCTGTGAAATGATGACTCATGGTTCAGGAGGAATCTGTGAAATGATGACTCATGGTTCAGGGTGATTCCTAGGAATCCAGATGGCTGTGCGATTGGAGTCATTTATGAAGGTAGAGAGAAAAATGGTGACATTAAAACCCTCGATGGTAACCGAAACCGGTTTGGCTCAGTGGATAGAGCATCAGCCTGTGGACTGAAAGGTTCCGGGTTCGATTCCCGTCAAGGGCATATACCTTGGTTGCGGGCACATCCCCTGTTGGGGGTGTGCAAGAGGCAGCTGATCGATGATTCTCTCTCATCGATGTTTCTAACTCTCTATCCCTCTCTCTTCCTCTCTGTAAAAAAATCAATAAAAAAATTTAAAAACAAAAACAAAACAAAAAAAACACCCTGGATGGTGAAAGTTCAGACTCACCCTTTTCTCAGGTTCTATAATGATGGCTTGTTTATCTTCTTCTGACACAAGGACGCAGGTGGCAAAGGATGCCCGCAACACGTTGATGACCATATCATTGGAGAGGACGTCCAGCTTCTTCACTTGGTCACCCGTCACGTTGGTAGAGCCAGCAATTCCATAGCTAGAGGGGAAAAAAGCCACAAAAAGACAAGCCATGAACACGTAAATGCATGTAAACCACTGACCGTGGCGTGTAGGAGGATTTAGAAGAAAGGAAAGAAGGCGCCTGGTTTAGAAGAACAAGAAGCATGATCGTCCCTGTACATGGACGTTCCCTCCTGGAGGGAAGAATACCATCACTCACCTGTCCGGTAGCTGGCATGGTACCCGGCACACCTTGTGTGAAATCTGTGTTTCTCGAGCCATCCCCCTCCCCCTCATTATGGCCTCTAAAGAACCTTTTCTGGTTGTTTTCTCTCATCACACTCTCCCATGAAATACTAATTTTAATACTAAAGACATGGTACATATCTGTTTATGCACTGTCTGCAAAGCTGTGTTTTATACACAAAAAGATTGATTTTTCACCCCCTGCCCCAAGACTGGTTTTTACCCCTGAATGTATGGCTGGTGCCTAAAGACAGCGAGCAGGGGAAATCTGGGTGGGAGGGGTCCTGAGATGTGAGCGAAGTCCAGGGAGTCCATGGTTTTATAGCTGAAAACATCCTAAAAGGAAAGATACGGACTGGTCCCCCCTCATTGCCTAGAGGCAGGTGGAAGCTACGGAGACAGCAGAGGGCTTGTCCAAGCCGGAGCAGCGGAGCAGAGGTGGCAAGCCCACGGGGACCCCAGGCCAGGCTCTCTCAGTGGCACCCACTGCCACTGGCAGGAGTCCTAAGGGTTGGGGGGAGGGGGAGAAGTTGGGGAGGGAGGCTTGAAAGTCTGCAGTTTCTACCTTATTTTCAAGGTACTTGCAGGCAGTAATTGTGGAATTCCCAGAATCCCAGTGGCTTGTCCAAAATGCAGCCTCGTTTGCTAGGAGAGACTGGAGGGTGCTTCTTGCTTGGGATTGGATGGGACACCAGCAGGAGGGGATGTTCTAAAGGAAGGGTGCCTAGAACAAGATAAGAGGCTGGGTGTGGGGCAGGAAGAGCAGGGGCGTGGGACACACCGCTAAGGAGCTGGGAGCAGGGGCTCAGGGCCCAGCTGCGCTTTGGTCAGTGTTCTGGGAGCACTCATCTGGGAATGGACTGTCCCGGCACCACCGCCTCAGCTCCCAAAAAGGCATTTGTCTAAGCATAACTGCCATTTCTCTGGCTGGACAAATCTGCCAGGCATCGTCCAAACCCTAGTGTCTCATCCGGCCTGCCTCTCCGGGAGGGAACTCCAGGGGTCTCATCACCCCACTGCCCGTGTTTCTTAGAGACACAGGCTCAGCTGCAGGTCAGGGGTCCTTTGGTCTTTAACCCATGAAATGAGATGGGATGAAAAGAGAAGAAGCAGGAGGGCTGACGGAGGAGATGCTGTTTGTCCAGGTGGGCGAGGGAATGATGCCGTGCCCGAGCCTTTTGTTCTCATGCCATAGACCCTTTCTCATCCCAACTGGAAGCTAACACTGGTGGAGAAAGAGGCAGCCAAATTCTGGGTGGAGCTGGAGGGCGTTGGAGGGCCCACCCACTGAAATACATCTCCCTCACTGGCCTACTGGCACCAAGCAGCTCTCCTTCCTTGCCAGAGGTTTCCATGGTTACAGTCACCGCTGATTCCGGAAGACTAGCGCTGATGGAAAGAACCTGGGCATCATAACAGAGACCTGGCTGCCTCCGGCTCTGGAGCCCTGGCCTCGCTGAGCCTCCTGTTTGCTTTGCCCATGGAAGCTGTGCTCCCTCTGGGAGGGGTTAGAGGACCGCAGGGGTAACATACATGAGGCGCCAATGTTCATCCCGAGCTTGCTCCCTACAGGGTGCTCTCATTAGGGCTGTAGATGCGGGGAGAGGAGTGGGGTCTCGGCGATGCCCTATGCCGGGGCTTCATCCACATAACGCTGGCACTGTTGCTTATTCTTTCCTTCCAGAAGGAGGAGGACAGACGGCATGTTTCTTCCCAATGCCCTAGCTTCCAGGGCATAGCAGGCCCTCAATAAATATGTGCTGGCCCTGGCCAGGTGGCCCCATACATCAAAAAAAGGTTGTGGGTTCAATTCCCTCTAGGGTGCATGCAGGAGACAACCAATCAATGCTTCTCTCTCACATCAATTTCTCTCTCTCTCCATACCCCCCACCCCTTCTTCCTCTTTCTCTAAAATCAATAAAAACATATCCCTGGGTGAAGATTATAAAATAATAAATAAATAATAATAGGTAACACATTTATGCTTGCTGATGAATGGCATTCACTGAGAAGAGAAATTGCCTGAAGGAATGAGTGCAAGAGTGACCAACTTCTAAATTAAGGCCACCCACTCTCAGCAGTGGCAGGAGAAGCCACCTGCAGTGTCTGAGGGACAGGCGCACTGGGTCAGCTCCAGGGAGGGCTGGGAGGCTGGGGCAGAGGGACAGCAGGCATGGGACAGATTGTTCACACTGGCCCACGTTCAGCCAGCTCAGGGATCTCACTCAGCAAGACGGGCAAAGGCCAGTCAGCTCCTAGAGTAGCTGTTTGAGTGTTCATTTACTCCACAAGTATTTATTGGATACCTAGTGCGTCCTGAGGGCAGAACAAGATGGATAATATCACTGGCCTCATGAAGCTTATATTCCACTGAGACAAACAAGAAACAAGTAAGTAATTTTGTGTAGGGAGCGGCTCTAGGGTCAAGCCTCAGGCTGACCTGTAGCAGGGCCACAAACAAGTCCCAGCCTAGAGGGCAGAGCTCTCTCAGCATTATTAAGCCTGACCTTGTAGCTCTCCCTAATCCTTCCTAAGCAGCTAATGGGCTGTGGGAGGTGCAGCAAGGGTTGCCAAAACAAGAACATTTGTATCCATGTTAATCCACCCTTGTTTTCATCAGACTATAAAATAAAGCATGGGCTTGCACGCTGGGTCTTTTGTGTCTTCATCCAGGCAAGGGAGATCCACCAAGCCCCGGCTGTATTCTCTTGTCTGTCTTTTCTTCAATCCTTCACCCTTGGCTGCACTGACACTGGCGTGGCACAGTTTTGAATGAATGAGATAATGTTGGATGGTGACCAATGCTCTAATAAGATGAAATGAGATGCCTGGGAGACAGGGGGTGGATTGGCCAGTCAAGGAAGGTCTCATTGCAAAGGGGCCACTTGAGCTAAATGATACCAGACACCAAATGACCCATCACAGACAACTGTCCAGTCCTCAGGTTCCAGCTCCCTGAAGGTTATGTAGTCACCCCACCCTTCCTTCTCTTTCACTTCCCCCAGAATTGAGGGTCTCCTGCCCTCAGTTTTAGCCGGAAGAACCCTTCTTCAATATTCTCCAGTTGCTTGTGAAGAATAACATTAAAAAACTCTGGAGGTTGATTATTCTGGGCCCCTCCAACCTAAAACCCAGGCACTTCATAATTTTTCTAGGACATCTCATGGGAAGGGTCCCTGGTAAAACTCGGTGTTAGAGGAGTCTTTGAGAAAGAGATTTTTAAGGTAGAAAGAGAGTTCAGGAGCATGAGCTCCCAGCCTGCCGTGTTGGCAGCAAGAGTGTCTGAGTTTACACACCTCGCCAGGTGGTCTTCCATCCGGATCTCAGCTCACAGGGGTGTCTGTGCTGGCGCTTCACACACAGCCCTGCCTGCTGCTCAGGCACGGGGCGCGCCCTGGGCTCTCCCCACCCGCCTCAAGGGGCCTTCAGGGGGCAGCAGGGTGTTTCCACAGGTCAGTGAAAGGTCAGAAGCAGGCACGGTTCTGATGACTTTGACAATGGAATAGGCCCTCAGAAATATCCTCTCAGAACTAAGCCGCTAAAGAACATATGGAATTTATTTTTTACATAAGTTTTCAGAAACATTAAATGCCTGCATTCTGATCAACCCTCATTCCTCAAAGGACTGGTGAACAAGAGCCGTCACCATACAGCGCAACTGCCACTCAGAGGAGCAGTGTGACCACCTGCAGAATGGAGAGGAGACCTGGGCTTCAGCTCCTGCCAACACAGCCCCCTCCTTTGCTGGGCCGCTAACCAGGGCTTAGAAAATGAGTCAGCTGACTTCCAGGCAGACTCAAGAAGGCCAGCCTGGTTGGGAAGGAGCTTCCCTCCGCCACTGTGAACAGGAGAGCCTGGCACCACAGAGCCTCAGTGGGACTTGAGCCTCAGTGGGACGTGAGCGGTGAGTCTCACACACTGCCCGGCTCATTCTTAGATCAGTCTCCAATGTGCTGCTCCCTGGGGCCAGAATCAGTCAGCAAATGAGGCTGCAAGAATGTGAGGAAATCATCACACAACTCTGTCAAAAAAGCCGTCCAGGGGCCAGCTCTGCCTTACCATCCATAGCGAAAGAGAAACAACTCAAAAGGTTGGAGAAAAGGGTTGACCCATCAAGCTGCAAAACTCTAGGCTCCCGCTCCGCTCATGCAGAAGAGTCAGGAGCAGTTGGGTATTGAGCAAGCAGGGACAGGGACCTTAGTTATGACTGAGCCAGGGACTTGATCTGCTGAGGAAGCTTTTCCAAAATGCAAGTCATCATGAAGAGGACGGATCAGCACGGGCTTTTTCCCATGGGCAGGGACTCAGCCCACTGGGGTCCAAATCCCAGCCCCGCCCACCACATGCTGAGCAACCCCGGCCCGGTCACCTCACCAGTAACATGGCCTTCAGTACATCTACAACCCAGTGTGCAGAGAGAGGCCTTGAATGAGTCCATCTAGTAAAGGGCGAGAACCGAGCCTGGCAAGTGAGCAAGAGGTGTTCTGGTCCCATGCCCATCCCTAACTCCCCAGGCAGGCATACAACCACCCAAGGCGGGTCCTAATCCGGCCTTGCCCTCTTCCTGATTGCATACCAGGGTGGCCCAGCTTCCTGGTGGATTGTTCCTTTCCAGACTTGGTAAGTATAAGGGCTGAAGTGCGTGATGCACCTGGTTCACAGCAGCCCAGTGGCAGCCACCATTGTCCTTAATGGAGCCCCCAGGCACCTACTAGGTAAATGCTGATGGATGAGGGGAGAGGAAACCAAGGAACCGAGGCCTCTAAACCAGTTTCACAGGCAGCTCCTGGCAACTGTGTCACAGGTAACTGGCAGCAAAAGAAAGTGCTCCAATTTCAACACTTCACTCCCATTTCATTCAAAGTAGTTGTCTCTGCAGCCAATCCACTGGGTTGGAGGGGGGGAGGGGGTCATCCTTACAGGGTGTAAGCCCTTGTAGTGGTTCCTTTTTAAACCCCAGAGACACAAAAGTTCTCTTTCTGGAGGTTGAGGAGTAAATGCTGATTGGAAAATTTGTCTAATGTACATTCTTTTACTGAAAACCTCATTGAAAATCTAAAAAACTGCAAGTCATTTTAATTCATATGGTGGGGAACTCCTTAGAAGAATAGATTGATTTGGCCAGTTTTTAATATTCTTAGAATCATGTAAGTATTAACACTATTTTATTTTTATTTTTATTTTTAAAATACATTTTATTGATTTTTTACCGAGAGGAAGAGAGAGGGATAGAGAGTTAGAAACATCGATGAGAGAGAATCATCAATCAGCTGCCTCTTGCACACCCCCCACAGGGGATGTGCCCACAACCAAGGTACATGCCCTTGACCGGAATCAAACCTGGGACCTTTCAGTCCGCAGGCCAACACTCTATCCACTGAGCTATACTGGTTTTGGCTGTAAGTATTAACACTGTTTTAAATTGGCATGTGGTTTCTGGAAGGGCCTGAGCCATTGCGCAGCCATGGTCTGTGATTCGGATATCTGAAGCAGAAGGACTGGAGGCAGGGCCACACTTAGGAAAGAATGCTCAGAAGCTCCCTGATTTGCTAGCTCCAGACCTTCTCCCCCTGAAGTCCACATGACAGCAAGGCTGCGGGAAGCACTCTCCTCAGCACACAGAGGACCAGGGGAAAGCTCATTCTCAGAGCACCCAACGGATGCTTATCCAATCCTCATCACTCAAGTCCAAGGTGACACTGACTTGTTACTAATTGATTTCAAGGTAAATGACCAACTGTTCACCCCACTGGGAACGTCCAAGGGTCAGACCGGAAGCACGCTGAAGGAGAGACATCAATCAGAGCAGCTTTTAAAGGTCACAGTCCCCGGGCTTGGCCAGAGTTCATGGGGCCAAAGTGGGCAAATAGGGTGGGCTGTGCTTCTGGTGTGAAAAGGGAGTCACAATTCTGTTGAGAAGCTAACTCAAGAAGCATAACATAAATCTGAGAAAGTCTGCAAGGGGTTCATTTCACAAGCTCTGCAAATTTGAAGATAAATGGAAGCATGTATTAGCTGACCTGTAATTCCAAAATTAAAACTGAAGTTATTAATCATTTTCTTCCACTCGTCATTCTGGGCCCATGCCCTTCCAGGGCAAGTCTTGAGCACTAACCAGCTATTTGCCTGCACACGGCTTTTTCATCAGGACATCAAAGCCAGTAATGAATGTAATCTGGAACCCTGATTTGAGATCTTGTCATACTGCTGCCTCCCTGTCCACATCATACTGAGACAGCAAACTCTTATTTTCCCACAGGAGCACTTAAGTGTTTATTCTGCACCTCCCGGTCCACCGCCCACATGACGAGGGTGGATCCCTCTTCCGGGAATGCTGTTTGAAAGAACCGAAGACAGGTGAAATGCGCTAACATAGGGGAAGAGTAAAATAGCGATATATTTGTGCAACGGAATACTAGGCAACAGTGAAAACGAAGGAGGCGGATTTATATGTCCTGCCATTGAAGGATGATCTTTACATATTGTTGAATGATGAAAGTAAACAGTTGAAGAATATGTTAACTGTAATCCCATTTCATTTGCTATTTACATATAGATGCATGTAAATATATATTCATGTATAAACTTATATGAGTATAAATATGCATCGGAAAAAATAACCTGTAAATTATATAAATATAACTTAATATAAATGGAGATCACCCCAGAGGATGGATAGAGGTGGGTTTCACCTTTTTCTTTGCCTTGTTGCATGGTTTAAATTTTTGTCGATGAGTGCATCTTATTAAGTAGGTTATAATGATAACAATAGCAATCTTTTTTAAACCTGGCATTCACTACTATTTAGTCTAAACAAATATATGTATTTCACACAGGCTTTTTACTAGAACACAGTGTAGCTTCGGGTACAGAAATGTATACTGTGTTCTATAATAGTAAAAAGCCTGCTCAGATTGGCCAGTCAGAGAGGCGGTCTATTAAAAAAAGAACTGGTGTTGCCTCGGAAGTGGGGGTAGTCTTATACAGCGAATATAGGCCTAAACCTACGTTTTAACTGTAAAATTAGGGGGTCGTCTTATACGCCGGAAAATATGGTATCCTTTGTCCAGATCCCAGCATCTGAGGTTTCATCGAAGGTGGGAAATATACACCTCAAAGCAGATCTTGCATTTTCAAGCTCCTTTTAAAATAAATACAGGAACTGACAGGTACTCTTTTTAAAGAAGGCCTCTCATCCTCAAAGACAAGTATAGCTATGAGGCCCGCTCTATTTGTTGTAAATTAAATCTGAAGCAAGATTTTAATTGAATGTGTTTCCTAAAGCAAAGACTCCTTAGAAATGTACTATTCAGAGGAGTCATAAGTGAAATAGTGGCGGAGTCTCACCCTTCCTAACAGACTGTCCCAGTCCTCTCCTGGCCGGGCCATCCCTGTTTGACTTCTGAAAAGATGGGTGACCACACTCCTTTATTTTATTTTATTTTATTAGATTCATTTAAAATTTTTTTCTTTATTGATTAAAGTATCACATATTTGTCCTCATCCCCCCATTCCCATCCCAAACCCCTCCCCACCCATTCCCCCATCCCTCTGTTGTCCATGACCACTGGTTAGGCTTATATGCATGCACACAAGTCCTTTGGTTGATCTCTCCCCCTTACCCCCACCCTCCTCTACCTTCCTAAATTCCTTTCTTAAGAGTCAGCAATCCATGCTGTGGGACCAGAGCCAAACAGTTGCAGGGGCCATGCTCTCTTGAGTCAGCTAAAAACATTGTGCACAATGTTTGTAGTGTCCCTGGACGAGTGGAATATTAGGAAGGATGGGGGCAATCTGAAAACCCAGATACTCTTCAGCTCCAGAGGGCCAGCTGAATACACAGAGTGAACCACAGAGTGTTTGTGTCACTTACAAAAGCCTCACAAGCAGGTGCCCTTTGAACCCCATGCCCTGTGATTCCTTTGCCACACACAGGTGATCTGCAGAACAGCGACATGGGCACCACTGAAGGACTTCCTAAGATGCAGGTCTCAGGCCTCCCCGGCCTGCTGCCCCTCCGCACCCAGCATTGCTGCTCCTGGGAGCTCTGCTGCAGGCTTCCTACTGGGCATCCCTGGCTCCTGACAGGACCTGCTCATGCTAAGGCGATACTTGAGCCTGAACCCAACTTGAGATCCCAAATCCGAAGGGCGTGAAGGAGGTCAAAGAAGAGAAAGAGAAAAGAAGGTTCGGTGCCGCACTTTCCTGAGTGAGGCTGGATGTGTAGGGCCAGGAGGCCAGGTGCCCACCCGCCAGCCACTTCCACCAGGAGGAAGCTGACAGGGGTGCCAAGCAAGCTCAGCCCGTGAGAGGGCTGCAGGATGGCGGCAGGTGTGGCTGGGGTGACAGGCCCCCGAGTGGGCGCCTCCAAGCTCAAGAGAAGGGGAACCAGGCCTTGGGTGCCAACCCCAGGGGAGGGAGCGGGAAAGGGAGGAAAGGAGGAAGAGAACGCGGCCAGGCCAGCCTCCCAGCTCAGACAGACACAGGCTGCCAGCAGGAGGGCTAGCCTGGGACCAGACATCAGATGGTCAGCACATTCCCAGCTGGCATACAGACAGACAGGCAGACAGGCGGCCGGGTTTGCGGGGGGCGGGAGGCTGACTCACAGGTGCGCGATGCCCGCCTTGCGCACGGCCGTGGAGATGGCCTTGACCGCGGTGCAGAGCGCATTGAGCAGCTGGGTCATCTCGCCGGTGCCGCGGGCCTTCCTGCCCTCCTCCATGACGAAGCGGGTCAGGGTGACGATGTTGGTGTCGAAGGTCGACTGGTCCGTCATGCTGGGGCCGGCTGTGCTGCTGGAGGCGGACAGGCAGGAGGGCGCAGGGCGCGGGAGCAGAACCTCGGAGGGCGGCTGGGTGCTGAGCCTGACCGGCCTCGGGAGCTCCCGCCGTGAGTGCGGCTGCCGGGCCGGGGACACCTATAGGTGCCGTCCGCCCCGCCCCGGGCACACCTCCGCCCCGCCCCGCCCGCTGGGGCCCTGCCAGCTCCGTCCCCTTCGGCCCGATCCTCCGGCACGCCCTCCCCGCCGCTTCTCGCCCACCTGCTCCCGCCGGCACCTCCGCTTCCTCCTCTGTGCGCCCTCCTCCCCCGCCACCCCAGTGCCGCCTCAGGCCCTGCAAGGCCTGCACAGAGGTGCAGCCAGGATCCCCAGCAGGGAGCGGAAGTTCAGGAGGTTACACAACCCGCGGGCAGGTCACCGCGAGGCCGAGCTCCCTCCAGGGCCGCCCGCCCCTGCTCCGCCCCGCCCCGCCCCGTCCTCCCCGCTGCGCCGGCCTCGGGCCTCGGAGGGATTCCCCCTTCAGCCTGTGGTGGCCCATGTGTGGATTCTTAATTCAGCCCGCAGTGCTGCCCCTAAGCGAGTGCACACACTGAGTCCTGGGGAGCACCTGCTACGCATCAGTGCCTGGCTCTGGGGAGAGGACTGAACAAAACCCACACGACCACTGCCTTACTTTGTTGTTTCTAATCCTCCCCGGAGCATACTTTCCCCTTGGTTTTTAGGGAGCATAGCAAAGAGAAGGAAAGACAGAAACATCCATGTGAGAGAAACCCATCGATTGGGTGCCTACTGCAGGAGGCCAGACCAGGGCCTGGCCAGGAAGGAGCCTGCAACCCAGGTACTTGCCTTTGCCAGAAATGGAACCCAGGATCCTTTGGTCCACAGGCCTGTGCTCTATCCACTGAGCCAAACCGGCTAGGGAGACCTTACACTTTAGCAGAGAGACGGAAATTAAGTGATAGAGGAGGAAGTTAGGTGACCCTGGGTGCTATGGAGAAGAGGGAAGCAGGGAATGTGGGGAGGGGTGTTCACTGCAGGGGTCAGGACACAGGTCACTGAGAAAGTGACATTTGAGCCAAGAGCTAAAGGGAGTGAGGGAGGCAGGAGCAGTGGGGAGGGGAGGAGCACTCTCCTGGGAGAGAAAAGCCAGAGGAGCTGGGGCCGGAGGGGAGAGAGTGTGGCCGAGGAATGAGGAATGGTCTGGAGACAGGGGAGCTGGAGCAGAGCTAGCCAGGGGGAAACAGGAGATATATTGGGGGGGGGGAGGGATAGGGGCGGCTAGGAGGGCCCAGTGAGAGAGTTTGAGTTCAACTGGGAGGAGCCACTGGAGAGCTTGCACTAGAGGAGAACCATCACCTGCCCTGGCTTCCTACAACCGCTGCTGTTGGATTAGGCAGAGCAGGCGGTGCCCTTGAGGTTGTCCAGAGATGGTGATCCAGGGAGGCAGCAGGGGGAATGGGCAGAACTGGCTGGATTCTGGCCTGGAGGCCCCGCTGGCAGGTTAATTGGAGCCAGAGCACCTGGGAAGGTGGAGTGGCCCTCAACTAGGGAGACCAGGAGGGGAGTGCGTTATGGGGAGGGTGGGAGGCGAGGGATTCATTAGGAGATACACTACGTTTGTGTAGAGAGCCGCCTGAGAAGGCACGTGAACATTCTTTAAAATTTTAAAAAAAAATATATATTTTATTGATTTTCCGCAGAGAGGAAGGAAGAGGGATAGAGAGCTAGAAACGTCGATGAGAGAGAAAGGCCGACCAGCTGCCTCCTGCACAACCCCTATCGGGGATGAGCCCGCAACCAAGGTACATGCCCTTGACCAGAATCGAACCTGGGACCCTTCAGTCCGCAGACCGAGGCTCTATCCACTGAGCCAAACCGGTTTCGGCTTCTTTTAATTCTTATCAGCTGAGCCCGAGGGCACTGGCAGAATTCTGTTATCAGTACTAATTTCTTAGCTTTATTCCTGTGCTTGGATGAGGAACAAACAGGACTTTGACTTACCCAGATCTTGATATATGCTAAGGAAAAATGGGGAGCTTACCCAGATCTTGATGAAAAGGATCTGGGCACATTCGAAACTTATTTTGTCATTAAACTCCCCTTTGGAAACCAATAAATGTGCTGTGTTGTCTCTGCTCCTCCATTCAGGAACCTGCTGTTTTCCGTGCAGGACGCGGAAAACAGAGAAAATGCCCACCGCAGTTTGAAATGCCTATGAGGCATCCAAGGGAACGTCTAGTCGATGGTCAGGTTTGTGAGTCCGGAATTCAGAGAAGTCCACACTGGAGACAGACGGAGACCCTCGCTGATGAATGGTGGATGGAGCATGAAACCAGGAAGCGTAAGTTGCCAAGGAAGGGAGGGGTCGGCCAAGGAAAGGAGCGTCAGGGAGCCAGGCTGACCCCTGTGCATAGTGCCACCGATGAGGCCAGCGAGACAGCCCTGAACACGGACCTCTGGCTCCATGGTGGGACCTGCTTGGTGTGCTGATGCCGGATTGGGGTGTCAGATGGGGACCCTGGATGAGGGCAATGGTGGTGCCACAGGACAGATGGTTCTTGTCTCTGTGTCGCCCAGGAGGGGGTTGGTCCACCAGAGAGAGCAGATACTTTAAAGCCCACTTACTCTTTGCTCCTTGGCAGCTTTCCTTTCAGGGGTGGGGGAGCCTTGGAAGAGAAATATTTCCTTAAATATAAAAGCGGAAATGTGATGATGACTAGTATGTTTGGCCTAGCCACTGGTTATAGCAGCGCTGCTTACGAGTTTGCCCCTTTATGTGTCTGATGTTTAGTCCCTTGGGATCTTAGTCCAGCCAGGACCATCGCAGTAACTAGTCCAACCCAGCCAGGATCATCGCAGTAACTGGTCCAACCCAGCCAGGACCATCATAATTAACCAGTCCAACCCAGCCCTCCTGAAGTTAATCCCTTGGAAACCACCCCTGGTAAGAAGGGACGAGCTCAGGCTCGGGGTGGGCAGTCCTGCTGGATTCCCAGCCTGGCGGCCTCAGCCACTATTCAGTCTCTTTAATCTCAATTCGTTCTTCTGTGAAGTGGGGTGACCGCTCCAGGAGGCAGGGATGGCAGGAGCATGACATGAGAGGTGCTGGCAGGTGCTCAGATCTGAGTGGATACAGAGGACACACTAACACCTGGAAGAGACGTCTGTGTAGCTCAGTGACTGATGTCTGCCATCCTCAGGGACGGGGAGCCCACCACCTCCGAGGAAGGCCATCCCCTTAGGGAGAGGCCAGGATGCATGGTGGCCCAGTATGCAGAGCTGGAAGGCCCGGGAGGAACCTGGCCTTGCCCCTCCCCAGCCGTGCAAATGTGTGCTCGTTACTGACCTCGTGAGCGACGGTTCCCTCACCTGGGAATTTGTGCTAAGGACTGGAGCTGCCTCATGGGATTACACCAGCAATGCGGGTGACGTGTTTAAGAAGCGTGCCGGCCTGCAGTAAGCCCATGCTAAGTACGTGTTCCCTTCTTTATAAGGACAGTGTCAACTGTTTTCATCTGAGCAGATGTCAACAAGGTCCCTTGGCATCGGAAGGGGGCTGAAGGGACATGGGAATGGCTAGCCTCCGCCACATTGACCCGTGCAGTCAGGCCCTGCATCGTTGGGAGACTGTGATTAGCTCTTTTCAGGGACAAGAGGCATAACCCATCGCCGGGGCGTTAGCCAGAGACTGAGGAAGGAGCTGGACCAGAGGGAGGCGGGCACCTCCACGCTTGGGATTTCTTCCTCCCGCCTCCACCCCTCCCTCCCCGCCCCCATTGCACAGCTGCTCTTTGCTGGCTTCCATGACCTCTCCCCTCTCTCAGCACAAACACACTTCAGTTCACACAGCCTGCGGGTCTGAGCGGTGTGAGCGTTGGTACCAATTTTATCACAGCTCTAAGTCGGTGGAGAAGCAGTGATCACCCACTTCCTCACCGGCCCCAGCCCCAGGGTCAGCTCTGGTGTGTGCCAGAAGCAGGAAGTTGAGAAGCAACAATCGGAATGATCGCTCACCGCCCCCACGCCCACTCCCTGTACCCAGGTACTTCTGCTTATTTCCCCAGGAGGGCAGTTAGTGAGCAAGACAGGGAGGAAATGCCCAGAGAGGGACTGTAGCCGCCCTCCCCTACCTCGATGGCCGAGTAGTGGAGACAGGACTGCAATGGCTGGAGCAGCAGGAACTGAACCACGAGCTGCAGGGCTAACAGCTATTTGGCCCTTGTCACATGCCCAGCACTTGCTTTAACCAACCCAGACCCCTGGGAGTGGCTCGCACTCCTGCTCTTTACAGACGAGGGGCTGGGGTTTCTGAGGGTGAAAGGACTCGTCCAAGGCCGGTGGCCAGCCAGGAAGCAGCAGGGCCAAGACTCACCCTGGACTGGACTGTCTGATTCCAAACCCCACGTACCCACAGGCCTGCCGGTTCCCTGTGAAGTGACAGAAGTGGCCGTGCCAAGCTGCTGGCTGCTCTGTGGCAGTGCCCTGAGCCAGGGACGCCCCTTCTTCCAACCTCCCACCACCCTCCTGTCTTTTCCAGTCACCACCTTCGGAACCTCCTCAGCCTCCAAGACCAGCCAACATTTTGTGTTTTTGTTTGTTTGTTTGTTTTTAATATATTTTATTGATTTTGTACAGAGAGAAAGGGAGAGAAATAGAGAGTTAGAAACATCGATGAGAGAGAGTCATCGATCAGCTGCCTCTTGCACACCCCCCACTGGGGATGTGTCCGTAACCAAGGTACATGCCCTTGACCAGAATCGAACCCAGGACCCTTCAGTCCACAGGCCAACGCTCTATCCACTGAGCCAAACCGGTTTTGGCTGTGGTTTGTTTTTTTACTTAACTTCTCATTGCTGAAATTCTTCAGAATTATTTCACTGAGGTGGAAGCTGCCGTCAACCATCTGGCAGCCTGCCTCTGCAGCCCCCACACCTACTCCCTCTGGGCTGCTATTTCCACAGCCATGATGTGGCCTCCAGGGCGTGGTCCACTTCTTC